CCTGCCTATGCAGGGGGTCAGACTCGATGATCTCAAGCAAATCCCGGGACGTCTCAAGCAAATCCCGGGACGTCTCTCAAGCAAATCCCGGGACGTCATTCTCCCCCTGTACTCGGCCTTAGTGAGGCCGCAGCTGGAGTACTGTGTCCAGTTTTGGGCTCCACAATTCAAAAAGGATGTGGAGAAGCTTGAGAGAGTCCAGAGAAGAGCCACGCGCATGATCAGAGGTCAGGGAAGCAGACCCTACGATGACAGGCTGAGCGCCCTGGGGCTCTTTAGCCTGAAAAAGTGCAGGCTCAGGGGTGATCTGCTGGCCACCTACAAGTTTATCAGGGGTGACCACCAGTATCTGGGGGAACGTTTGTTCACCAGAGCGCCCCAAGGGATGACGAGGTCGAATGGTCACAAACTACTTCAAGATTGTTTCAGGCTAGTCATAAGGAAGAATTTCTTTGCTGTCCGAGCCCCCAAGGTCTGGAACAGCCTGCCACCGGAGGTGGTTCAAGCGCCTTCATTGGACACCTTCAAGATGAAACTGGATGCTTATCTTGCTGGGATCCTATGACCCCAGCTGACTTCCTGCCCTTTGGGCGGGGGGCTGGACTCGATGATCTTCCGAGGTCCCTTCCAGCCCTGATGTCTATGAAATCAATGAAATTGGCTTAGGGGTTGCACCCAGAGAGTGGTGGTGGATGAGTCGATATCGACCTGGAAAGATGCAGGTAATGGAGTCCTGCAAGGCTCAGTCCTTGGACCGGTGCTATTTAATGTCTTCATCAGTGACTTGGACGAGGGCATAGAGAAAACCCTGTCCAAGGTCACAGATTATACCAAATTATGGGGCAAAGTTTACACACCAGAGGGTAGGGAATGGATCCAGGTGGATCTGGATAGGTTGGAAAAATGGGCAGAACAAAATAGGATGCAGTTCAACGAAGACAAGTGCAAAGTGCTGCACCTAGGCAAAAAGGACCACCAACACACTTACAGGCTGGGGATCATCATAGTTGACTCTAAGATGAACATGAGTCGGCAATGTGATGAAATGATCAACAAGGCTAACTGCACTTTATCATGCATTAACAGATGCATGATGAACAGGTCCAGGGAGGTGATGCTTCCCCTCTGTGTGGGAC